CCAACGACATCATATAGTAATGAGCTGAAAAAGGCAAAAATTTGGAAAAAAAAGAACAGCATGAATGCATAGAGTACAAATCAGATTAAATATACTTTATTGTCAGAAGAAAAATTAATCTTATAGACAAAGTCTTATAATATAAACAACAGTACGAGTTGAAATATATAAATATAATAGAACACATAAAAATATACATATATTAAGCGAATAAATATTCGTTTATGTTTCAGGAGACTGAAGTATTATCATTCTCTATCGATCAGTATATACCACGAGACAGTAGAATAAACATTTATTGAGATTTGGAGCTACAAAATACATGACATTAAAACGGACAAGACTTTTGAAACAAACCTAATCATATAATCAGCATTCACTGTGTCTATGATATTTTACCTTTTACGGCCCATTATTATTATTTGACATTTTAAGACAGGCATATATCAGTTACACCGATATATCTAACTAACTATATTTTTATTTATGTTGAATTTCAACAATTTCTTTTGTGACAGTTGAAACCTGAGCCTAGTAGAGTTTCCATTTTTGTAAAAATATTTTTAGTTGAATTCTCCAACTCATGTTTGATTTCTGCTGTGTGGCGCCCCCGAAATCTTTAATAAGCTTTTATAAATTAGTTTAATATCCTGATCAAAAATTAATTTTATGAACCCAGAGTAAACAGCTGCTGGACATGTGTGTCTTCAGTGTATAGTTCATATACACAAAAATATCAGTCTGCATAGTAATTAACCAAACCATTTTGTTTTTCTCAAATCTCTGAAGCTGATTCAGCTTGAACATCTCATATCTCTTGAATTTCCTTATTTTTCAGTTTGATCTGGTTATCTCACAGATGATTTTTTTAGGATCAGAAGAAAGGGATCCACCAGAGCAATTACCTATAGTTTTGCAAGTTTTACTCAGCCAGGTTCATAGAGTGAGGGCATTGGAATTACTTGGCAAATTTCTCGACCTTGGACCCTGGGCGGTTAATCTTGCTTTGTCTGTTGGAATATTTCCATATGTTCTGAAATTGCTCCAGAGTTCTGCTGCGGAACTCCGACCATTATTGGTATACATCTGGGCCAAAATACTGGCTGTTGACAATGTGAGTAATTTCGTTATGTTATATTCATTATCTGTATCATATCAATAGCTAAAAACTAAATATGAATCTAATAAAGTTACTTTTCCCAAACAATGATCAGTATCTTGTGATGATGCCTACTTGGCTGGTGAGAATAGTGCTTTTTCTCTTCTGATGTGTGAAGAAAGCGATTCAGTTGACTCCAGAACTTTGACAAAATGTTTCCACTCCACTCGGATAATTCCCAGATCTTGTTACAATTACAAAGTTTTATTCAACTTTAAATATTCATATGTTTGCTCCGATCAAATCTTGCAACTAAATTTTGAAGCACTTATTCCCGACCGATGGAGCTAAAATGTTCCATATATGTTTAGCATGATTATCTAAGCGTTGCCATTTTACATCCCACATGGCGGACTAGTTTTCATGCACTTCTATGATATGGGTATCAAATAAAAGGGTATGCTGAAAAAAAAAGAAAAAACATGATATCACTGATGAACCTAATATAGCAAATTTCTAAAGATAGCAGCATATGTTCTTAATCAAATCATGATATGGATATCAAATGCTAGGGTTGAAGGTGAAAAAAACAAATATAATTTTCCTTTAAAATGAATCAGTGCATATTCCACACGGACCGCAATAGCAAGAAGACTTTTGTTGCGTATCTACTAGATGCAGTTATTATATTTTTTTTTTCTCAAAACTTCAGCACCCTGTACAGCATTACAGCTCACAATATGTAATATTAAAACTAACTTGGATAGCCAGAAATATGTTATTGCTGTATTTTTAGACTTAAAAAGAGCTTTTGAGACAATTGATAAGAGAAATTATGTTGTTTAAATTGGCTCAGTATGGGATTGATGGAAAGGTTCTAGAATGGTTCAGTGATTATTTAAACAATAGAAAACAGAAAGTCCGTGTTCCCCAAAGTAGCGTTCTGGGCACGCTTCTTGTTGTTTTATATTTGAATGATATTGAACTTTTTATTGAATCTGAGTTCATAAACCTATTGATGTTGTGTCATGTTGTGTCATCAGTCAAATACCTTGGTTTTCAACTGGATAATTTTTTAAATTTTGACAATCACTTTGAATATATACATAAGAAAATATCGAAAAAACTATATTTTTTCAGTAGAATAGCACAAAATTTGTCAATGCCGTGCAAAGTAACAGTTTACAATACCATTATTCAACCACNTGAATTCAAGGTGGGTTACGCACAAGTCTAAATCGGAAAGTTTCAAGCATTATGAATTCCATGTTGGCTAACATGTATTATCACTAAAAACTCACAACACATGCACGAATATTCTCATTGAAAATCAACGATCCAACTTATGACTTTTTTTCATTTGCAAGAATAAAAACAATCTAGAGACTAATCCTACCTACCAATCGCAATATTAGACTGCCCATGCAAAATGGAAATGTTTGTTTTAAATGGTCCTAAGTTATATCACCACCAGCTAGATATATTAAGAGAAAGTATAAATAATTCATTCAGAAAGGTCTTTAAAATGACACTATTAAAAAGACAATATTATAATGTGTAATAATATCTTGACTCTTTTTCAAAATTATTTGAATACATTTATTGATACTTCGATTTTACAATTATTCTTTTTACAACATAAAATGAATCTCTTAATACTTTTCTATTCCCACATCAGAACTCAAGTACTGACTCTCGATATGCCTTTTGCTAACCAAGTAAGCATAATCAGGACATGACCAAAACAGTTTTAGTCATCTGATGATACTGACTTGCTTTGCGAAATGTGTGGTCGCGAATCACTGGTGTGGAAAAACTGTTTTCAGTAGAAATACACCACATTCATACATCAGCATCCATTTTATACATTATGGAATGTTGGACACCCAGAAAAAGAAAATTAAGTTTATGAATGGTGTGTTATAAATAACTTATTTCTTAATGTAAATAAATGCCATTTTAATACTTTCTCAAGAGTTGGTAGGACATTCGATACATCATACAATATAAATGATCAGCACTTAGAATACACTTCCTCTATAAAAGAATTTGGAGGTCATTTTTGACGAACAACTCAAATTTGTTAACCATATTAACCAAGTGAGTGTGAAATCATCCAAAACACTGGGTCTTATTTTACGTCATTGTTCAGGATTTTCCATTGAAGCATTAAAAAGGATTTATTTAGCTCTAGTGGTGTCTAAGTTAGAATATGCATGTATCATTTGGTCTCCATTTTACAATGTGCACTGTGTGTCTCTAGAAAGAGTGCAAAATAAATTTTTGAGATTTTGTTCTTTCAAGTTGGGTCTTCAAATACAGTACCATGACTATTCGAGTATATTACAAGAAATGGGGCTTAAACTATTGCAAACCAGAAGAATTGATGCAGATCTATGCTATGCATTCAAGCTGTTCAATGGACCTTCTCTTTTGTATTTGCAGTTACAGATTATACTCGGATAACAGCAAGTACAAAAAAATGAAAAAGGTGATTGTGAGTTGTTAGAAAATTTTAGACCAATTAGTGTATTACCAGCCTTTTCAAAATTGTTTGAAATGGCGATGTGCGACCGATTGATGAACTTCCTAAATAAGTGTAAAATAATTAATAACATTCAGCATGGATACATCAAGGGAAAATAAGTAGAGACAGCCATTATGCAATTTACAGAAAAAAATAGTAAAGTCATTTGAAAATAACCATTTATTGTTAGGCATTTTCTTGGATTCATCTAAAGCCTATGATTGTCTCAATCATAAATATCTACGTGAAAAACTCGAAAGGTATGGAATTCGTGGAACTGCATCAGATTGGTTCACATCATACCTAACAAATAGGCAACAAATAGTAAAAATATCAATTGATGGAAAGATAGTTAAATCTAACGTAAAAACAAATAACACTGGGGTTCCTCAAGGCAGTATAACAGGTCCAATTTTATTTGTACTCTTTATGAATGACATCTCGAAAATATTGCAGCATCCTGTAAATATATCTTGCAGCATTACTAAATATGCGGATGACACAAACTTATTAGTTACTAGTTCTAACTTATTTGATTTAACTCAACAGGCAAATTATTT